CGTAATCGCCTCTGTAGACCTCTTCGTACTTGTTCTCGGCTAGTGTTGAGGGAGCGGGTGAGCATGATGAAGACACGTGATGCTGATTTTTTTTTTTTTTATCATGTAGGAGAAATCTGTGGAAGAGATTTGCAACGAGTTCAAGGAAATTATAGTGGGACGGACCCGGTTATGGATGTTGATGAGTCGTTCGTGTTCAAGGAATCGATCGATGTGACTTCATGATTATACATAGCAATCGCATAACAATTCGTTAAACTTCATTGGCTGCAGATTGTCAACGTATTTTCCGATTTAAAAATTAACTTTCGACGTTAGGTTAGGGTAGGTTAAAGAGTTTTTTTAATACCAAAATTTTGCAAGTAATTTTTTTTTGTCAATACGCAGAAGGTGGTTTTATAATCAAAATTTTGAGTTATGGAAAAGCAGATAGTTTGTTTTGTTTTCTGATCCTGTGTCGTAATTGGTCGTGTCCGCGGATATTTTATGCGTTTATTATGTATAATTTCATGTGTCTATTTCTCGTAGGCAATTGCCCGGGTAACTCGAGTGCCAACGTTTACTATGCAAAATCCAAAGTTTACTTAGAAGACAAAAATACTGTCGCCTATTGGACCGTACGAAGTTATACTGTAGAGTAAGGTAATTGGAAATATTTTTTTGCTTAAGCCGTTTAGTATGTTAGATTCAATAAATTTTTATTATCGTGCAAACTCTTATGATCATAGATTTTTTTCTTCTTGTTATTTTTTGTACGTTATTACATAAGCACAACAATCTCGAATTAAAACTCAGTTAGCCAATAATGACTTGTAAATCATGATCATAATTGCACGATAACATCGATATTGGATTATGCGATGATGAATATCATAAAAATTTGCTTCGACAAACCAAATTTTCATGATATTAATCGTTGCATGACCAATATCTTATAATTATTAACTGTTTAATTTGAATAAGCGCAAGTTTCGAAAAACATTGTCACACGCTTCCATGTATGGAGCAATGCTGGCTGGGATGAGAGCCAGAAATAACTTTATTAGATATAGATAAGGTAGATAATGAGTTATAAGAACTGAAACATTGATTATCCCGAAATAATTAGCAATATTGATTGCGCTGGGAATCGCTGTAACAGACCAGGCAGGAAATAAATAGCTTAATTATTCAGCCGGTGGTTTCCCGCCTGCTGAAGCAGGCTGGCTATTAGAATGGCAGAATCATGTGACTAGCATTAGTGGTGGGACAGGTTGGGGCAGAAAGTTCTCAAATTTATACTGCGGATGAGAGTTGGTTCTAGAGTATTTATAGCATTAAATTGGGTGGCTTGTCTGGTTTACTTTTGTTGATTTTATAATGTTTGATTGGGAATTGACCAGGGCGGTTTCTTTGCAGGTTATGTGAGTAATGCCACTGCTGCAGTTCTAGTTGATGAATCAGATCTTGATAGATAATCGAGTAAAAAAAAATTTTGATGCAGTATTACCGTTAGGTAACTCTCTTTTACCATGACAATTTTTATTTTGTTGGTTTGCTTGTTTTTTTTATTATAAATCAACTCAAGTAAATTAAATATTTTACTATATTTAAGTTAAGTACTCCAATAATTGATAAAATTTATTGAAAGAAATTTGTAGAAATTATATAAAAAAGATTACAAACTAATCTATTATATTATGAAGCTATTTAGAAAGTATTAAAATAATGTGTACAAATACATATATGATTTTCAAAGATTCAAAGTAAATAATAATAAAAATATAAATATACTGTTGTAGTTTTATAGTTAATTATTAATATCATTCTGGTTAATTATCGTGTTTGTTTCATCTAAAAATAATAAATATATTAGATATAGTTTTTTGTTTTTTAGACTCCAAGTAGTTTGTATTTTTTTTTCACTCTACTGCCTGCACTTTTTTTTCTATTTGCAATAATTACTACACTTCATAACCACACAAATATAATTCTAATTGTTGGCTAGTTTTTTGATACAGGCTCATTTAAATACTTGTTCAAACAAGAGACAGTTTAATTTAACAAAGATGCAAGCATTATCATAATTTTTAATATTATCAGATATATTATCTCAAAAACTTCAACAGGTGCTATAGATAGTACAGAAAAAGTACTAGTTATAAATTTATTATTTATTAAATCCTTTATAATGAGAAATGGCAGCATAGTATGATGTTTAAAATTACTTCTAATCAGCTTTTAATGATCTTCATTAGACAAATTTATAACTTTACATACTAAATGCTTATATAGTAGAAAACAACTACCAACAAAGCTAGAACAACTACAGACCCATCTAGTAATATCAGTAAAGTATGATCTAACTGGTTTTACAGCACTTGTACTGATGCTCAATCTTCTTTTGCTTTTATTAAATTTATTATTATATATCTTTATTTGTTGTTTTTTAGTTGTGTTATTATAATTTTGTTTCTTTTTCCTATTACCATAGCTCTACTATACTACTCAAAATCTGGAAGAATTGTTTTTCTAAGCTAGAACTACTTCTATGAAAAGTGTTTAGAGGAGCAAATCTAATTTAGACTGATTAAAGCAGTGTAGATAATACTGCTTAATAATATTCCAATATATCTCAATTTTTATTGTAGTCTTGCTAAAAAGAATGGTGGTTTAGCTGATTATTTTTACAAGTACTATCATTGCAAAGAGTACTAGTTTGTTTAGAGATAAGCCCATAATAGTTGCAATAAATTTGTAACACAAAACTAGTATATCTTCTCTATGATATTTTGTTTTATATTTTCTAATAACAAGGTATTTCTCTAGTCTTCAATAGGTATAAGTGAATATAAGTCAAAGTACTTTTGTATTATATTCAAAATTGTTTTTTGATATATTTTTAGATAAAAATAATAATTTTTTTTTTTTTTTTTAATTCTTTGACAGTCTTTCCAGTGCTCAATTTATTTAAGACTATATTTAGATGAGAGTTGAACTCTCTTGAACAATACATATTATTCATAACCATAAATGGCATCTAGCGATTGCGAGCCTGACATCACCTGGCTGCGATAAACGTGCCCACATGCGACTTGTCGTACCAACCTGTATACAAGTTAGATAAACTTTGTCAGCCCATCAAAGCTTTTCTCTTCATATTCTCTTTCTTTACCAAGAGCAAAAGAAAGTGATGATCTTATATCCAATACAAAACC